GAGATGGGCATAAAAAAACTGGCTGTGAGGAGGGTTATAATCCCTCTTCCTTTTTTTCACAGTTTATGTGTCTTCAGAGCTTCCATCTACTGCATAGCATTTTCTGAGTATCCAACCATCCATCAACATCTCTTTCTTTACTGGCAGCCTCATTATAGCTAGAGATCCTAGCCTGAAATATATCAGCAAAATCAAACTAGAAAATAGCAGGGAGAGAAGATACTTGCACACAAAGAGTTCAAGGAAAGTGGGAGATCAAGCTAGTCATAGATTTTGAATACCAGAAAAGTCTATCAGTTCATTTAACCTGACTTTTTACATGGCAAAGGACATAGCAGTGCATGCTACTTCCCTCGAAGTTGACCCTCAGAACTTGTGTGTAACTGAAGCATATCTACCAGAAAGCCTTGAAATGAAGGACTCAAGAACATGGAATCCTACAGACAGTGCAGTCATAGAATCACAGAATCGTAGAATATCAGGTTAGAAGGGACCTCAAGAATCATTTGGTCTAATTTTCTTGACAAAAACACGGTCTAGACAAGATGTCCCAGCACAAAATCCAGCTGAATCTTAAAGGTGTCCAATATTGAGAAACCTACCACTTCTCTAGGGAGATTATCCCAGTGGCTGATTCTTCTCATTTTGAAAAGTTTTCTTCTTGTGTGCAATCATAATGTCCCTGGGAGTAACTTCTACCCATTACTCTTCATCTTTTCCATGTGACTTCTTGTAAAAAGGACGTCTCCACCTTCTTTGTAACTACCCTTTAAATACTAGAACACAGTCATAAGGTGTCCCCCAAGCCTCCTTTCTCAAGGCTGAACAAACCCAGTTCTCTCAGCCTTTCCTCATGTTCTAGGCTTCCTCGTCCTTTGACCATTTTTGTGGACCTTCTCTGGACCCTCTCCAGCCTGTCTACATCTTTCTTATCTAGTGAGGATTGAAACTGAACATCGTACATCCATGTGTGGCCTGGCAAGCACTGAGAAGAGTGGGAAAATAATTTCTCTATCTCTGCTGGTGATGTCCTTGTTGATGTTACCAAGCATCCTATTTGGTTTTTCTCTGCTGCAGCATGACACTGTTCACCCATACTGAGCTTGTTGTCCACCAGGACCTCCAGGTCCCTTGCCACAGAGCTGCTCCCCAGCTGGGCAAATTTCAGTCTTTGGTGCAGTCCTGGATTATATCTTCCCAGGTGCAAGCACTTATATTCATCATCGTTGAACTTTATAGGTTCTTGTTATCCCACTCGTCCAGCCTAGCCACCTCATCCTGCACAGTGGCTCAGTTGTATCCCTTCCTTTTTATGGGCAAATACCTCTTGGATTTAAGATGGGATCTGAATAGAGCTAAAAAACAAGAACACAGAACAAAGAGTGAGAAGGGCATTTTTTTTGCCAAAATTGCTCTTCTGTGTTCTGAACAGATGGCTGACCATGACCTGAGACCTTAGGAAATTGAATCAATAAAAGGAAAGTGTTCAGATTTAATTATATGTAATTACACAAAGCACAGAAAGGGTAAAACTAAGACACAAACCTCAGCTTATTGAGTGAATATATGTAGTAGGAGCACATAAAAAATTCACCCTCATTCAATATTATGAAATTTCCATCACAAAACCTTTTATTGACTGAATAACCTAAAACCCACATTTATTTTTTCAATATCATATTATAGCAATTTCAGACATTTGTTCAAAATCTGATTCTTATTCTCGTTTCTTAGAAAAACTGGCTTGAGTTTTACCATATTTGATAGAACAGAAAATAAAATTATCATTAGGAAAACTCACTTCATGAGCTACAAAGTGACTGAGCAGTACAAATCTCTGGGACCTCTGCAGTTCATTTTCTGCATCTTTCTGAAAAAAAACCTTGTCCTGGTCCAGTTGGTCACTGTGGATTAATAGTCACATATGTACATGTATGTTAGACATATTTTAATCACCACATTCAAACATTTGACAGAATAATACCACTGTCACATCAACCAACAATGTATTCGAGTCAAAGAGGGTTGTATGTGTAGACACAGAGAAGCTGAAAAGTACAACATACTTAGGAAAAAAAGCTAAATAATTGCTACTCTTCTGCACAAGTAGTTGAGCTGAACTTCTGAACGAATTTGATGTTTTACTGGCTCTGGCTGGGATGGAGTCAGTTTTCTCCCCAGCAGCCCATATAGTGGTGTGGTTTGGATTTGTGCCTAAAACAGCATTGATGCCACACCAGTGTTTTGGCTATAGCTGAGCAGTGCTTCCACAGTGTCAAAGGTTTGTCTCTCCCAGTCAGGAGGCTGAGGGTAGCAAAGACATTGGAAAGGGACACAGCCAGGACAATTGACCATTGACCAAAGGGACAACACCTTGATCAGCAGTAAAGCTGCGATAGAGGAAAAAGGAGGAATGGGGGCAGCATGGTGTTCTCAAAGTCCTGTCCAACCTGACCTTGAACTCTTCATTCCCCCAGTCCCTGCCTTGAGATTCAGAGTCTCAAAAGATGTGTGAAAAACAATTGCCAGTGAAAACTGAGATAAGAAAAAGCTGAGTACCTCAGCCCTCTCCCTGTCAGTTGTCACCAGGTAACCTGTCTCATTTTGGGCAGTGGTACAATTTCTTTTGTCTTCATTTTCTGACTAACGTGCCTGCGGTCAGATATTCATCCATTTCTATTAAGGTACAAGTACCTGTTATTTTACCTAGAGATGTCCCCAGTTGGAAAACATCCTTATTCCATACACTGAAAATAGAACTAAGAATGAAGACTCAGAACCAGCAACATAACTTGCACACGAGATATCCTGTCATGAAGCCTCTGCCCATCTGTAAAGTTCATTTCATTGACATGTTTCATGTTTTTTCAGTCCATCAATCTAGCAAATAAGTTTCCTACCTTTTGGTATGAGAATCATGTTTTTAGGCTGTTTGTGGAAGGATCAGGACAGTCCATAGATGCTGTATTATCTTCTCTAACTTTCAGCACATCAGTAAGGTACATGCACTGAAAATGACCTTTCATGAACGGATTTTTCTGAAATTCTTTTCCTTCCCTAACTATCAGATTAAGTATAAAAAGATAATATTAATTTATACAAATGGTACTCATTTCAAAGTGAATAATGTACTCCAATAAGTACAAATTTAATTGTTTGTCTTTTAGGCTGTGATACAAATTTCAGCTCAAAGCCATGCATAAAGTTAGACTAAGCAAGTGCAGAACTGCTTGAAACATCTTTATTTGCCAGTTTTCTACACTTTCCCTTTTCAAAGAAGAATAACTTTCCTTTAAAAAAATAGAGATACTTCCATTCAGAAGACCAAGAGTTTGCAAACAAAGAAGCATTCTTCTAGAGGTTTTCAAAAATCCTGGGTGCAGTAACAGTAAAGTTACCCACGAGCAACGTTAACAATGTCATCAGCTGCCTCAGAATAAGAGCAAAAGTCTGTTAAAAGTTTCTCATTTTACAGTCTTGTAGACGTACAGCTTTTGGGAAGCATTTTAAGCCTGACAGTGAAGAGATCTGAAGCGGTTGTTCAAAGCAAAAAGTAAAGGAGAATTATACACACACCCTTGAAAATAGACTTGAACACGACATACAATTTAACTACTGGAGAGGTTTTACTCTAATTCCTAATTCGCCTGAGTTTACTGGCAGAACTGCTGAAGTTACAAAACATCATTAAAATGAAACATCTTTATTTCTTTAACAGCAAGCATTGGCTCATAAAAATTTTGTGCCTTGTTAAGTGCAAAAGGCCAAATAGACTAAATTCATGGCTTATGAAAGGCAGTTCATTCAAGAAATTAAATTATTTTATTCAGCAGAGAACAGAAAGTACAACAGCTTTTGTTTTTTTCTTTTAGAAGTAGCCAATTTTGAAAAAAAATCAATTATATAATAAATGTGGTTTGAAAGAACATTCTCTGTAAAAAGTTTATTCCTATCCTTTCAGTTTCATAAAAATGCTGTCAATTAAGTCTGACATAACCTTATGAAAATCTATTAGACCATGCACAAAAATATTTCCCACTATTTATCAGTATTATGAGTAGTAATGACCATGGAGTGATGCTTCTATCACAATTTAATGCCTTCACTGAGTAAGATTTTTACAATAGTATTTTATTAATTCAACCAAACAAGAAACCACAGCTGTGCTGGAACACTGAGACCATAATTGGGCACCTGAGATTTTTCAGAGGAATTAAAAGGGAGCTCTGGTTTTTTTATTTTATATGTAAGAAAAACAAATGGAATTCTGGGGTTTTTTACTTGTCTGGTATCCTCCTTTGTGAATGCTATCATGGATAATCCATTGCCTGTTAATCCTTTCATCTGATGTTTTACCATCAGAATATAATTTTCAGCCCCAAGTTATATAAATTAATATAAGTAGGAAAGTCAAAATTATACTTCTTTATTCCAAAATATTTTATATATTATTAATCACACTCACCATTTAATAAATAAGTATCAAGTATATGTTTGCTCAGGATGACCCAAAGGAGTGTTTAATAGGGCCTAAGGGACATTTGCAAAATTTCTAAACTTGATTTTAATCATCCACTATAAACAGAGCACTGTAGTGCCTACTAAGGATCCATTTCCTTTTCAGCCATAAAAACTCACATAGGTCATAACCACAGCATTATTAGTTCATTGTAAAAATGAATTGCCTCTCAAAATTAAAAAAAAAAATTAGACTTGTGTGCCATTTTTAATCAAAATGCTTGTTCCCTAAAAAAAAAAATGGAAACTGGAAAGCTGCAGAGATCAAAGATTATTGTTTAGGGCCTGTTGATGTTTTCTTCTAAAAATCTAACTCTTTCTTAAGTTAGAAGGCACTGAATGTGCTTATAAATTCAGAAAGAGGACTTGACAATACATATTTCTTCTCAATATGACTGCTTACTGTTTAGGTAGTATAAGTGAATGTGTTTACAATGTAAGGTTGTAAACAAATTATAAACACCTTTTGCTTGATATTTCAGCTGCTACAGAGGTCTCCTTTTCATTCGATGTCGGAAATGGGCCAGTGGAAATTGTCGTTAGATCTCCCAGCCAGCTCAATGATGACCAGTGGCATCGGGTCAATGCCGAGAGGAATGTCAAACAAGCCAGTCTGCAGGTAGACCAGTTACCCCTGGAGGTGCAGAAAGCACCCACAGAAGGACACACGCGACTGGAATTGTACAGCCAGCTCTATGTTGGTAAGATGCAGAGTGGGTAGCCAGGCTTTGCTCTCACATGATGGACATTCTTTGCCTTGAGTCTGGCCAGTAGCAGTTGGTTTAATGTGGGAAGCTGTGCTCCTCAAGCACTTGCATGACAGCAGTCGGAAGGGAAGTGGGGGCAGGGGGGTGGGGAAGAAAAGACAAGCATGTCCATAAATACAAAGATTAACTAAGAGAATGATATTGTGTGTTGGAAATTTGTCAGTTTTGTCTTTCTCCACCTGCAGCTCCTGGCTGAAAGTACCTCCAGCAGGCCATAGTGCCAAACTTATTTTTTGCCAAGTGCCTCTACCAGACATGCAAACTTATTCACTAGGAAAGTGAGAACTTCTGCAGAGCCCTTCCAGGACTGCATGTGCCTGCAGTGCCCATCCTAGCCTCAGCAGCGCTTCCAACCTCTTTAGTTTTGATCATTGTTCATCCTTTTGCATTCACGGCTCTCACTGCGGTGTTTTCCCTTTAGTCCCATGGGCTGTTTACCCATTCAATGTAGGAAAGCACCACACAGTGTTACACAAATGCATTCCCTGGAAACAAGTTAGGCCAGCTGCTTTCTGGAGCTACTGGTTTCCACTACACTTTGCGCAGGTTATTGCAGCAGCACTTGTATTTCTCTGCCTGTTAGCCTTGGGGCTGCAAAGTCCCGACATGCCAAGTGTCATTAACTGGAATCAGAACTCCATGAAATGTTGAGTAAAGAAGCACTTTCATACCTCTCTAGATAACTGTAACAAGAGAAGAGGGAAGGGGAAAAGAAAAAAAATCTCTTTTTTTTTCCCATGTTAGTCAGCATTCAACAAAACAAATGAATTCAAATGATGTTTAAAGCCTTCATTGCCTTAGTAATCAGCCCAGTGTCACTGCACTCTGTGTGTAATGTGTCACCAGATGTGCAGGTGTTATTTACAAGCTCAGGTTCTCCTTTACTGCTATGATGTCAATAAAAGGCAGTTTCAAAATAAGCTGAAAGATGAAACTTGTTTAAAAGAGAGAACTTTAACCTTTTAAAAGAAATACCAAACCTTTTGCCGAAAGCAGGAAGAGCTGCGTTTTTTTTCCAGTCTGAGTTCTTTGAGAATTGTTACTAATGATGATTTTATTTGTTAGTTTTGAATTGACTGCAACACCAGTAAGGTCTTGAAATATATAGTACCTATATTGCCAAAACATGAATGTCAAAATCTGCAACGGATTTTTTTTTCTTTCTGAATAATATCTATTCCATATATCTTGGTGATTGGAACACACCTCTCAGAGAACAGATTTAAACCTTACCCAGAGACCAACCCAGAGTGAATTTGAGTTGGGAGTGCCCAAAATGAACACCTGAACATCAGGCCCTGGAGAGTAATATCAAACAAGAATTGTTTCAGTGCCTCCTGTTCCTCTTTCTATAAAATAAATCTGTAGAATAATCTATTCTTTAGGCCAGCAAGAGAGTCTTAGGTATGATGACTTTGTGTCCTAGGGGCTAGGACAGTCACCAAGAGGGGAAAGAAGGTTTTTCATCACTGCAGTGTATATGAGTTTACATAGAATAGAATCACACCAGAATTCCATCTGCCCTGTGCACTCAGCAGAGACCAAGCCTTGCCTTCTCCAGTCCAAGTCATCCAATTACAAGCACTTGATTTGAGGTGGCTGTCTCTGGTTCATATTTAGTCCTCTTCCCTACTCAGATAAATACCATCCTCTGTGCTCTGTGGTGATGAGCATTCAGATCTCCTCGGGGACTTTTTGGCACCTAGGGCACTGCAGTAATCAAAGGGAGGAGAGATGAGCAGAAAGGATGCCAGCCACTCACTGTTATTTACTTGCATTTTTTAATTTGCTTTTTTTCATTGTTGTTTCTAATCCAGCCTCAGATATGACTTTCCTAGCTGAAATCATATTTTTCAGCAAGTGCTTACTAGGGATAAAAAAGAACAGTTCTTATTAACTGCTATGAAAAATTATCTCCACTCAGACTTTCAAGTGTAGCTTTTGAGTGTTACATTCTTTACTCTATGTTCAGACAACTAACCAGTGTACCTGATGTTGCTTGAAGATTAACATCTGTTTTTCCTATGGTAACTGAGGGTGGAGATTCAAATCTTTTTCTTCTTTGCCTGTTGTGGCTTTGAAAAATGTAACACTGCAAAGCATAATATGGCATTATTATTAGCATGAGTCATCACTAATTATATGGAGAGAAAGGCTGTACCTTAGCAATCCAGCCAAGCCCTTTTCTTCCATCATTATCTCTAAAAACCTTGAAGCTGAAATTAAGTGAAATCTTGCAGTGTAGGGCTAGAATCTCAAATGTCTATTCAGCATAAAGCAAACACTTATTGCTAAAAAAATCTACTAGTTATGCTTATTTATGGTATGGTATCAAAAGGTTAGGTCTCATTGATTGTACTGTCATTAGGACAAGACAATTCCTTGCCCTGTTAAAGAAGTTACCATTTCCAGCTGTTGTCCCAAGCTTAGCAGGATATTTCATGTAAAGCAACAATAAAATCTGTTCAGTGTTGTCATAGAGTTTTACACTCCCTCTCAGGTGCTGCAGGAGGCCAGCGAGGATTCCTAGGCTGCATTCGTTCATTAAGGATGAACGGGGTGACACTGGACCTAGAAGAGAGAGCAAAAGTCACGCCAGGGGTGAAGCCTGGCTGCTCTGGCCACTGCACGAGCTATGGGATGTACTGCGCAAATGGCGGTAAATGTGTCGAGAAATACAACGGCTACTCTTGTGACTGCTCCAAAACTGCCTACGATGGACCATTTTGCATTAAAGGTAAATGCAGGAGGCAGAGTATGAGAGAACTATTTGCATAAGAAAAAAAAAGCACCATAGAATTGATGCTTCACTTTTTATTAATTAAAGAAGTAAATCTTGTTTAATACTTCTTGCTAACAAGTCAAATTACACACCCAGGATTTAAATGTGGCTATTTAAAAACACATCTCTCATTAGGACTATATGTTACCTCTTTAAATCAAATAACACAACAACAAAATGCATCAGGAATGACTATAGTAACAGCAAGTCTGGCAGACCGTATTCCACAGTCTCGAGCTGTTGAACAATAAATTCCAACTAGCACAATGTCATGGTTACTTCTTTAGAAAACGCATGGATTTAAACAAAAGCTACCTAGTCATTCAGAAATATATTTGAAGATATGTAGATATGAGGTTTGGATTGAGTATCTGAAGTACTGGGAGGCCAGCATTTGGTTTAAAAATTATGTCCATTCGTAACCAGAACAAGTCTTTTAGTAGCTCAAACTGAGTTAGAGATTGAATTTACTAGGGTAAGGGAAGGCACAGACCTCCCACACCTGTGTCAGTCCTTTCGAAATGCCTAAATTATGTTCTTAATTTTCAAAATCAATTATTGCATGAGACCAGTTTAGTATGGACACAGGTCTGCATGAGAAAGTAAGGCAAGGAGCAAAGGAAAGAGAGATACAAAAATGTGCTGGTTTAAAGGTAAACCAGCAGGGGAAATGAACTCAACTCAAAAGAGAGATTATAAGTCAGAATAACAATTTAATAAAATAATACAATAAGTACGATTATACAGACAAACAATTGGTTTTAACCCACAAAACCCAAATGTATAACCCAGCACCCTGGGCATGAACAGAGTGGTGTTCTTTCGGCCCCCTGAGTCCAAAGTAAAAGGAGAGGGGAAAACCTGTTGGTGAGAGTGCTGTTGCAGTCTGGTCAAGAGTGGTGATTGCAGTCCAGTCGAGAGTGATGGTTGCAGTCTGGTTGAAAAGTGGTGGTTGCAGTCCAGTCGAGAGTGGTGGTCTGCAGTCTGGTTGAGAAGTGGTGGTCTGCAGTTTGGTTGAGAGCGGTGATCTGCAGTCTTCCTCTGGATCCCACGAGTGGTTAAAAAAGTTCCAAGACTCCAAGATTATATATTCTCCAGTTCAGGCAGGAATGCCTAGTACTTCCCTAGGGCAGGGAGTACCACAAAGGATGTGAGGACAGGGAGGTATCCTCCTGTCTTGAGGCCTCTTAACACCTAGTTTATAGCCCAAGGAGTCAGGCTGCTCTGGGCAGAGGATGTAAATAGTCTATTGATAACAGTTTCTGGGAAATGGCACGGAAGGCTATAGAATACACAGTTTTGGATTACACCTATACAGTAATGAACTGGTCCCAGCTGTTCTAACTAGGACAAACAATAAAAAAGTGAGAATGAAAGTATTAATTTATTTCCACTTTTTTTTCTTGTTCTGACCATCAAATCTGTTGTTTTTCCTAGTTATTTTAAAAGCTTTCTCAGAGTTTCAACTAAAAATTGAAGGCTCTTCTCATCAGTATCCATGATGTTAAAGAAATCTATAGCCTCACAAACTGTTCTTCTGCTTTTACGTTCCCCTCTGTACCAGGATTCCTGCAGGCAGGCTTTGTCACCAGATACCGAAGTCTCTTCATGAAGCTGACTTGGCAGTAGGGGACAGAGCCTGTCATTTGATGTTCTGGTTCCCAACTCTTTCTTAACATCCCTTTTTTTTTCCAAGCCAAAATCTGAGAATTATTTTATAAATATCCATACCCTGCTCCCTTTTAGCCACACTTAGAGGAAACCAAGTTTATAACAGAAATAGGCAATCTTTTTACCTGATGCTGGGTTATGGACTGTTTTCTCCCCACACACTTCAACCACCTTCATTTATATCCATATATATCCACCTTCCTTTCATTTTATCATAGCAAAGCTTTGCTGGTGTTGCTCACAGATTGGATCACCCTCTTCCAAAAGCTAAGGGATTGTTTTCACATCACCAGATATTCTAATGAATCTCTAGCATGATTATTTTATAAATTCCAATAAATATGATATATATTTAGTGAAGCAGAAGGGAAGCAGCTGCTTTTCTACATAATGGCTTCCACTGTGCTTGCATGCAGGAATTTCATCAGGTTTCACGATGCTGTGTTACTTCAAAGACCAATTATAAAACATGTCCATCAAATTCAGGACTGTACATACAGCAATTCCTGAGAATGTGAATACTGTGATTTTGATTAATTTAGCAAATGGTTTATCATGAATAATGGTAATGCATATTTAGTATTTCTGTTCACTAATGCAGCTATGGTAGAGGAGACCCATTTGGGTTGGAACTGTGTCAGCCTCTTACAGATCGCATATGTTGACTTAAAAAAAAAAAAAAAAAAAGAGAATTACTGCCATGCCACATGCCATAATCACTGAATTCACTTTTTAGTGTTTTGTGTATTGCCAAAACTCATCACACTAACTTTTATTTGTATGTTTTCTGTTTCTCTTATGGATAGTTAAACCCCAAACTTCTGCCAAAACTAGCTCTAAGCTGAAGTGTTTTACTTTTCCTGGATGTGGAGCTAGCAGAATAAAAACATACCACTAGGGGAATAATTGAGCACCTAGCACAGACAAACCCTGGTTGTGGCTGGTCTATAAGCACTGTCATAGCAACAGAAGTAGTATTATGTTATATCATACTATTCTCCTTATCTCCTTCTCACAGTGCAGCCAAAGGCCCCAAGCTCTGACAGTGATACTTTGGACATGCAGCAAAACTTGCTGTAAGCTACTGCTGCTGGGCAGCACTGAGTCATTCAAAGGTACTCATGAGAGCCCGGGGATCTCTCTACCATACAGTGTTGTGCCATTTAAACATGACATCAGATCTCTGCTTAAAATATCAAATCCATTCCAGACTAAAAATAAGTCTCTAAATCCTTAAGGTCTTATGTACAAAATGCAAATTACCAGTTTCCTATCTGTTAGTGCTGAAAATTGATATACTCATCTACAATATTCCCAAGTATGATTTAGTGTGGGTGACTTCACAGGGCTTCTCTGTAGAAAGAACAATGGGGCACTGGGGAAAAAGCTAGAGGATAAATTACACAAAATAGACTGTGTTTGTGTTTTCCTGTAAAATAAAAATATTACTTAAATTATATTTTAATTGATTTGAATGAAAAGGTCATAATATGCCTATTTCAGTTCCTTTTTTTACTAATACTTTGACACTTGCCCTTCTGCAAAAGCACTGAAATGTCTGTGAACATGTTTTCAAATACTATATTATCTGTTTTCAACATTTTTCGTTCTTTATAGTAAGGATATAGTTGAATACTGCTTTGTCACTTGTGGTTTTCTAACCTGCACCGCTGTATGCTATTTGTTGCTGTGCTGGTTTAAAGGTAAACTGGCAGGGAAAATGAACCCAACTCAAAAGAGGTTATAAATCAGAGTCACAATTTAATAACAATAATACAATAAATTCAATTATATGGAGAAACAATTGGTTTTAACCCACAAAACCCAGATGTATAACCCAGCACCCTGGAGCACAAACAGAATGGTGTTTGTTGGCCCCTGTGCTGAGCCCCATGTGGTCCCCCTGAGTCCAAAGTAAAGGGAGAGGGAAAACCTGTTGGTGAGAGTGGTGGTCGCAGTCTGGTCGAGAGTGGTGGTTGCAGTGCGGTCAAGGTTCTGGTCCTCCTCTGAATCTGACGGGTGGGGGACCAGAAGTCCCAAAACCTCAAGATTATATACACTCAGATTCGAGTGGGAATTCCCAGTACCTCCCCCAGGGCGAGGAGTTCCACAATGGGTGATTGTGAGTCATGAGATATTTTTGGAATCCTTGGTGGGCCATTAGCAGACATGACCCCTCAGGCTGGGTGTGAGTATAGGAACACCCTCCTATCTCACAGGCTTCTTAACACCCAGCATACAGCCTGAAAGGTCAGGTGTGCTCTGGACAGCTGCTGCAAATGGTCTATTTGTTAACAGATCCTGGGAAATGACATAGAGGGTGTAGAATACACAGTTTGGGTTACACCCACACAGTGATGAACTGGTCCTGGCTGCTCTAACTAGCACAATTGCTATTATGCTGGGTGAGTCTAATATGAGGCAAGCAAGAATATTTCCCTTTGTTGTCTTAACTGGGAATTCACATTCACTGCTGCCAAGAAATAACAAGGTTAGTGCTTTGCAGGATAAACTAGGACTAGGTTTCATAACTTTACTCCTCTGAGTAAATCTTCCAAGCCAAGGAGATCTGTTGATTTGATAATCAGTAGTGCCTGACATTTTAAGTCATCACATTCAAGCCAATATGAGATACTACCGGAAAAATATGCAACTCATCTGGAGCGAAAGGTGGCACAATATAACATCTTTCAGTATAACACAGACTTCTCTTCCCATTGGTTTTAATTTCCCACAGGAAACTTTTGTCATCCCAAAGTTTTATGCTGATATTCAAATCACTTGCCCATGGTAAACTTTTTGGGTTTGGTTACATACTGAAACTGCTAGCACAAGTGATGGGGAAAATGAAAGGAAAAAACCATCATTAGTATAAGGAAATTACCTTATAATGTCTCATGAGTAATTAACACACATCACAATAAAAGCAAGTCTCACTTGTTGTGGGTTCTCTTGCTGATGAAATCTATCCTTAGAGCCACTGACTGATGACTGACAAGAAATTGCATCATCTTCAGCCTTATTAGCAGCACATCACAACATGATTGATGTTGTAGTGGCCTGGAAATTACACTATTTTTTTACAAGGACAAAAAGAAGAGCAAAAATGCAGTCTGACATCTATTTTAACTTTATTTTTGTTTTGTATTTGAGGCATATGCAATTGGCTTTACTTTTTTCATTGCTCAAAGAAATTGCTCTGAGGAATAGCTGCAGTGTTTCTGCAGTCTTGCAGATTGCTTTCTGACCTTTCCCTGTCCTTTCCTTAAGCATAAATTCTCTTT